TTGTGATAGTGAAGTTGTGATACGAGGATATTTGAAAGGTGAGTGGCCCATGACAGAAGGAAATATACCACAACTGTTTAGCACACATTTAGTCAAAGGATCGGTTTCAGTTATCTCCGACGAGTTGAAATGGGGTGCTAAGACTGGCAATGCTCTCTGACGATGCTGACTATGATGCCGGCCAAACTTCTGGCAATTTACGACGTCCACGGTCCGACTTTGGAAATGATCATGCATTCAATTGACTCCGGACTAGGTGCGTCCCTCCAAGTCTTCTTATCAATTTCACCAAGTTTCGAAAACAATGTCAAACAGCTTCTTTAATTTTCCCCAACGAAACGATTAGATACCCTGATTTTATTGACTTTCATATAGCTTTGCCCACCAAAAGGTTTTTCACCTCCAGTCTACATCACAATTTTGATTTCTCTCCAAGCCTAATCGTATACATAATGGTGAAACATCAGCATCTAAGACGATATATGAAATTTGGGGTTTACGAAGGTTCTGGATAATTTAGGTATCAATACTCCCTAATAAGCCTCAGGGGGTTTCATATTATTTATTTCTAACTTATTCTTAGTATTCGGTACGTTAGTTTAGTCCACTCCTACTGTTATGGAAATTTATGCTTTAACCCACGCTCAGTATTCGTGGTTGTTACCGTTTGTCGCACTCGAATAGACCTGGCAAGTATGTTGAGTTACTGATATTTCCCAGGCCTTTTAAATGTCACATTAAAAAATGACATGTTTATTTATTTTTACATTGCCCATACTCTTTGTTATCTTTATCTTTGACTTGATTATCCACTTCTAGTCTTATTTATTCGTGCTCAATTATTCTGGAGGCTTTAATTTTTATCTTTCAGTCCGACTTTACTGCCTGCAAAAGTTTCTGCTCTCGTCGCCAGCGCTATGCACACGTTACAGCACGGCTCGCCACACTCCCACTCGCTATCTTCTGCCTCACCTAGCTTAGCGTCACTTCATCTTTCCATGCACAATTCTAATGAACTATCTTCTTCCAACCCCTTCGTCACCGCCACTAATGTCTCATCTTACTCTCCTCATTCAACTCCGACCCACTACGAACCTGCCTCTACTGTTGTTGATTCTTGTTTATTTTCTTCATCACAATCCGCAAATTTCACTCCTGCCCAAATTTGCTCCTCCAGTCCTCAGTTTGTCTCTCTTCCAATTTCCTCTTCTCATTCCTCTTCTCCTTCCTTCTCATTTGTCACTTCTGCGATCTCTTTGGGGCCTTGTTGCCAATCTTCTTCAAGGTTACCTAGCGAGTTGATGCACCGCCTGGCTAGCCAGCAGCTGCCCCTCCGTCTATCCTGGCCTCTTACCAGCTTACGCCGATTCGGATTCCACGGTTGTCTGCTTCGGCTAGAAGCAGGGCGCCGCGCCCCAAGAGGCGAGGGTTATTATGTTTTCTGTGTGAAACAGCTACGAGAATTTCGTCAACTATTTGAGGTTTGTTTTTCTTATCATGTTTAGCTGCTAACTTACCAGGTGTTAAGATTTCAAAAAATGAAATATTACTTAGTAATGAGGTATGGTTAAATCGATTCTCGTAGTGTGTAAATCGAATAGTTTAGCTTATTTCCATTTCGACTGAAAGTGTTTTTTGAAGAAGAGGACTGCATATTTCTCTTGAGCAGCTGTCGATTGGCTTTACTGGAATATTCTTGTTAACCCTGTTTCCGATGCAATCCCTTGAGATTTCGGTGATAACGTGCTAAGCTTTCGTCTATCGTATGACGGACATCATCAAAGCAGGATGTCATCCTTACAACAATTCTTTCAGCTAATGAGTCAAGAAAGCTCATCGGCTCATTCCTAAATGCTGCATATATATATA